GCAGAGGAATAGTGTGGAACTTTGTTGGATCAAAGGACACAGTGGCAACGAAGGAAACGAGAGGGCAGATGAGATGGCGAAGCGAGCCGCGCGCATGCCCTTCTGGGGACCCGAACCGGCAATCACGCCTTCGGTCGCCCTCTCGAACGAACTCGTAAAGCAATATACCCAGAGACGCCATGAGCAGATATGGGTGAAGTTGAGCAGCTGTCGGCATAGTAGAGCTTGTATGGCGACACCAGACCGTAAGCTGGCGAAATTTTATCTCTCACTTTCAAGGAACAAACTGCGTAAACTGGTAGGATTCCTTACGGGACATTACCAGTTTAACAAACGTCTACATACGATAGGGGTGGTAACAGACCCAATCTGTCGTGGATGCAATGAAGAAGAGGAAACAGCTGAGCACATTCTTCGTGAGTGTCCAGCCCTAGCCTCCTACAGGGAATCCATACTAGGGGACATCTGGCCTAGTATGGCAAATATCAGGGAGTTTCCACCCTCTGCATTACTCAAGTACATTCAAGCAGTTGGGTGGCTTGACGAGTAGAGGAGCGGAAAAACACCCTGATATGGACTTGGGGAAGGTACAATGGGCCCAAAGGCGAGGCCTAAGTGCCGGCTGGCTACGGTCAGCCCCCATAAAATTAAGAATCCAGAAGAATCCAGATACAATTTTCCTACTAATTTAGATTTTTATTGCGTGACATTTATCTTCATTTAGTAACATATTGTTGGAAACACACCACTCTTCCAGATGACCAAGATCTAGTTGTAGAGTTGTAACGTCATTTCTAGAATTTATAATTCTAAAAATTTTTAAATCATCAGCGAATAGACGATAAGGACTTTCAAATTTATATCCTATGTCATTAACATATATCAAAAATAATAGGGGCCCCAGAATTGACCCTTGGGGAACTCCCGAGGTTACATTCACCATATGTGACAGACAATTGGCTATCTTAACCTGTTGCGATCTATTGGAAATATACGAGATAAACCATGTAAGTAGGGACCCTGATACACCGTACTCTTCCAATTTATGAATAAAGATGGAATGGTTCACTTTATCAAATGCTTTAGAAAAGTCCATATATATTGAGTGAACCTCGGAACCTCTACCTAACGCTGTTAAAATGAAGTTGACGTACCTGAATAAGTTAGTAACTGTTGAACGTTGTTTATAAAAACCATGCTGTTCAGGAATAATTAAAGAATTAAAGATAGGTGTTAGTTTTGTGATCAAGCAAGATTCAAATATTTTACTTACAGCAGATAAAATAGTTATTGGACGATAATTGTCAACTTTGCTGGTAGCACCTGATTTGAAAATAGGTATGATAAAAGTGTGCTTCCATTTACTAGGAAAAATACCCTGATTTAAAGATTTGCTAAACAGTAACTGTAATGGCCAAGCTATAATTGATTGAGTCTTTTTGTAGAATAATGGAGGTATTCCGTCCGGACCAGGCCCCTTGTTTGTATTAAGAGCACTTAAACAACGATCAACATCTTCCACACTGATGTCAATTTTTCGATTTCTCAATTTTTCGATTCTTTAGATTCTCAGTTTTTGGATTTTTCAGTTTTGGGATTTTTCAGTTTTTCGATTCGTCAGTTTTTCTTTCATTTTTCAGTTTTTCGATATTTCAGTTTTGGGATTTTTCAATATTTCTGTTCTTCGACTTTCCATTTTTGACTTCTGGATTTTTCGATGTGTCGACTTTTTACTTTTTCGATTTTTAAATTTTAGATTTCTCAAGTTTTTGGTATTTTAATTTTTAAATATTTAAAATTTTAGATTTTTCGATTTCTCGATTATTCATTTCAGCTCCTCCATATTTCAATTTTTCAAATGTTTCGATTTCTTAATCTTTCGATTTTTCGACTTTCCGGTTTTAGATTTTCTGTTTCAATTGTCGTTTTTTCAATTTTCGATTTTTAAATTTTAGATTTTTCAGTTTTTTGATATTTTAATTTTTCGATATTTAAAATTTTAGATTTTTCGATTTTTCATTCAGTTCTTCGATATTTCAATTTTTCAAGTTTTCGAATTTTTCAAATGTTTCGATTTCTTAATCTTTTGATTTTTCGACTTCCCGGTTTTAGATTTTCTGTTTTTCAATTGTCATTTTGTCAAATTTTCGATTTTTTAATTTTCCAAATTTGACTTTTATAAACTCTCAATTTTTAGATTTTTTAATTAATCGACGTTTTGATTTTCCCATTTCTTGACGTTCGAGTGTTTCGAGTTTCCTGTCCGTCAATTCTTTAATTTTTTTATTTTTCAGGTTTTTGATTTTTCGATTTTTCGATTTTTTTAAGTTTCTATTTTTGAATTCTGGGTTTTTCGATGTGTCTACCTTTTTACCTTTTCGATTTTTCAATTTTTGGATTTTGAAATTTTAGATTTTTCAATCTTTTGATATTTTAATTTTTCAATATTTCTTAATCTTTCTATTTTTCGACTTCCTGGTTTTAGATGTTCTGTTTTTCAATTTTTCGATTTGTTAATTTTTCATTCCGGATTTATCGAGATTTGATTGTCCTGGTTTTCGATTTATCATTTTTTCAATTTTTTATTTTGGCCTATTTCGGTTTCTCAGTTTTTCCAGTTTTACGATTTTTTAAGGTTTCGATTTTTCGATTATTAGATTTCTCGATTTTTCGAATTTTCCATTATTTTAATTGTTTATCTTTTTTCTCACTGTTAATATCATCAGTGTATCGAAAACAACCACAAAAATTGTCACTAAAAACATTTAAAAAAAATTCATACAAAATACAACAGTGTTTCCAAAACGTTTTCCCGAAAAAAATCCATTTGGTTATTACGATTTCAACAATATTTTTAGTTTAAGACGTTTTGCCGGTATAAAACACAAATAAAGAATTAATTCTTAGTTAAACAAAATATATAAAATCATCTAAATATGCAGTGGCGGCTGGTGACCTTTTGAATTGGGGAGACACAATTTGATTGATGAGTTAAATATGAAGATATAAAACAGGTATTCTATTACCATTGACGAAATTGTGTGATGGAAATAAATACAAAAATACATTGAATAAAAATAAAAAAGGATTTCTCCACATACCTTTTTGCCTTCGGTGTTCATGGCATCCAAATGTTCATTTTGGACAGTTTTAGGTTTTCCTTTAAAAACCGTTGCTTCTTTCAAATGATCTGATAAAGTCCAATTCAGCCATAAAATCAGACGTCGAAATATACCAGGATTTCGTGATTCCCTACTTCAATCGGCGTAATATATGGCGATTTTTGTCGACCCTTGCCTTATGTGCCCGAATATTATTAATATAAGCGGTGTGTAGTTGTTTCCGAATGTCTGTATTACCGAGAAGATTATCCAAGAATATTTATCATACGTGTTCGCGCAGAAGGAAAATTAAAACCCGCAATAGTAACTCAATCCTCCAGAGCACCGTCGCAACGGGCTCAGAATCCAGTTGTATCAGGCGCATATCAGGCGGCTACGACGTGTAGTTTTCATAGCAACGGTGTAAACAAAACATCTAAATCAGCTCTTAATAGCTCCCCAAATAAGACATATAAAATTCGGCATCTATACTATAACGAAAGTATAATTATAATTTATTAAAGTTCAGGGGTGACTGGCAGATGTAATTAAAAAAATATGAATGTTTTCTAAACACAATGTTTGCCGAGAAACAGGGATACCATAAATAAAAGTTCGGTTTGAGAGGATTCAATACTCATCACGTCCATAGTGGTCGATTTCTAAGTATAGGTAACGTACATGTTTTGTTGGTTGCCTATCTCCAGAAAATGTGTCTTAGAGACAAAATGTATCTGTTAAGTGACGTCAGATACTTTTTTAGTTTCGTCCATGGTACAGGAAAACTTGGTATGATGTTGCGCATTTTGTGTGACGTCAGGTGGCTGTTATGACCGCTAACTTTAAATTCTGGCTTGTTGGATGTTTCTATTACCACTATCAACGAACGATGCCAACTTTTGAAAGCATGTTATTACTTATTAGCATGGCAAGAGCAATACAAGAAAAATCAAAGGTAACCAGGATTTTTGAAGATTTGTCAATTTGAAAAACTGAGTTGAATGTCACAGGCTTTCAAAAATTCAAGGTTGTCTTTTATCGTGTTTTTATTGCTACTATGATGATTTTTTTTCTTGCAGTCACTAGTAAAAATGTATATTCTGTGTATAAAAAGAAATATTTTTTTTATGTAACGGGTGTTCAATTGACAAATCAATTAGAGTAGGCTTACTCCGTGAAATATCGTTTGACACAAACGGCATGTCTGTTCATGGCCGACTAGTATAAAGATTATGGCCTGTCCAAGAGGTACGATACGTGTTGCCATCTATTAATAATTACACTTAATAATTTAGCAAAATTTTAATTTGACTTGACATTATAGGACTTCAAAACGTGTAATGGTGGTTTGTTTCGGTATGAATGCCTTTGTGCCTTTCAAAAAATGTTAATAATTCTTTTGTGGTTTTTGAATTATTAATAGATGGCAGCACGTATGGTACCTTTGGCATTCCTTTGGAGAGGCCATAATCTTTATACTAGTCGGCCATGGTCTGTTCTTATAACATATAGCATGTTAGAGGTTATGTTTCTGTCAAATGGAAGTTATAAGAACAGACATGCCGTTTGTGTCAAACGAAATTCCAACGCTTTCTCTAAATGATTTTTCAATTGAACACACATTACCAATCGTTGCTCAAAAACGATATTCAAAACTTGACAATTCTTTAGTTTTAGTTAGAAGGTAAATTTAATCCCTAAAGCAAAAACAGGGAATTTTGAAACATAGTTATTATGATTTTCTACTCCCACATTCTTTATTAGGTACTTTTACAGCTTTTTTCTTCGGTAAAAAAGCAGATTACAACATGTCAGGTTTTATATAAGTGTTCAATTAATCATTTTTATTGTTAAGATCGAAATTTGGTCCATTAATAGTTGAACAAGATAAAACAAGACTGTAATTATAATAAATTTAATAAACATGGCAGTACAGTTGTTACTAAAATCAGAAAAAAAAACAGATATGTTTCGAATATGTTTTTTAACATAATTCTACCACTATGTAAAGATATATATATATATATATATATATATATATATTTTACATTTTCACTAGGATACTTTTGTTTACATGTTTTATTTTCTTTCGGACTAGACTGATGGGAGGTTTTGACTATAGGTTCTCCTTCGATTCCTGCAAAGATATATTTATTAATAGATTCCAGTGTTTACAAACTATTATTAATAGAAATAACAATTTTGTAATAAAGAGTAAAATACTCATTTTTTTAATTTGAACTTAAAAATATACCTCTGCCAATTTCCAAAATCCCTAATATTTTTCATGCGTTTCGAAGACGATTCCCAACGCGGAAACCAAGTAGAAAAATCATGGATTATTTTGGTGATCCTTCCGAACTTCTTCATCAGAAAATTTGTCCAGACCAAGCCTCAAAACTTTATGTTGTGCACTTGTCACGTCAAAACCAAAAAACATTTGTCATGCTTTTCGAAGACGATTGTGAAATTTCATTTTTTTTTTTTTAATAGATTGTTGAACTCTTCTTCTAAAACAAACGTTTTAGAATGATTCCATTTCTTCGGAAGAAAAAATATTCGTCCAAACTCCGTTGAGACCATGTTTCTTCTGTCACAGATTTTGTACAACACAAAAGAAGGCGTTCTACATTTTTGGAATACTTTTCCGTGTATTACACTTGGAAGAAAAAAATCCCCCAGGGCGGTCTCCCAGTGTTATGACGACATGACTGGATGTTTATGAACTCTGTGAGAAATGTCGTTGATTGCTTAAAATTGGGTCGCTAATTGCTAAAGCTCCTAAGTACTTGGTCAATTTCCGGTGATTTGTCTGTCACTGAAAAAGTGTACATATATAATGAAATGATACAAAAATAGACTGACTAACAATAAGCAAAATTAATGGCAGATTTTACTTACACACAATAGAGAATCATCGAAACATTGTCCCATTTTGGTAATTTTAGTCTTGTATTCGAACTACAATCGTTACATCAATTTATAGAATTTTGATATTTGTGGGAATTTTCTATTTATTTTGTTACCTTCGTTATTTCGCAGCAATGTGTTGGATTTCGTAATATACTTAGAAAAGTAAATTATATAACTAAACTGAATTATTTATTTGCAACTAATAATTTAAGCTGTCCTGGAAGAAAGGGGTCCTGCAAAATTAAATTTTAATTTATTTTGTTTTCACAACAGACAACGTACCTAAAATTATCTCCCTTTCTTAGTAGTGGTATTGTCATTTCCTTGTGTTCAATAATATTCTTACAAATCGATTCAGGAAATTTGTAGATAATACTAAACGGTACCATGCATCGCGTTCTTTTTATTCAATAATAGAGAAAACACAATTATTATGTATGCTTTTCACAAAAATTTTGTTTTATCGGTGATTGTAAGCAACATTAATAACGTCCAAAAATTAAGGTGCAATTAAATTTAACATTTTTAGCTACAGAGATGATAATCGATTACAATTTTTTATTGGAGTTACAAATTAGTTGAAATTAGGGAATATTTTGTAATCACTCGTGACCAGAAGACCAAGCAAAAGTAATGAAGTGATGTAGAAAAATTTTCAATAAGTAAATATAACGTTTTATTTGTCAGTTAACGTGGCAACTTATAATCAAGGATACTGGAATGAGTGACTACATTTGTCCGGGTAGACCATAAGTTTGAATCGTTTTATATGTCCCAAATATTTAAATTAGTGCTATTTACTTTCAAAATAAAACATATAGCTATTATTTTTCCGGATAACAATTTACAGACGTTAAATTACTATTTAAATTAATTAAAAACTTCGGAATAAACTGCACTTTTTTTTCAGATTCCTTAGGATATAACTAGGTTAGTTTTTAGACATTGTTTTTCATGCCTCGTCCAGTTTAATGATACACGATTTTCAAACAAGAACATTCTGTTTACTATATTAAAGTGCATCTGGACAGTTTGGGGAAGTTTATTCCTTCTTTCCTTCTAAAGGAATCATGCCCGGTTTGAGCGCCGGCTTTTGTTAAATATTCTACAATTTTTTGGTGACCTTTTTCGGAAGCTATGTCGAGTGGTGTTCGACCGTCATTAAGAGTGCGATTGATTTCGGCTCCGACTGTCGCCAAGTATTCGACAACTTTTTCGTGACCTTGGTATGAAGCTATGGAAAGTGGTGTCACACCGTCTTTATTGGCGCGATTGATTTCGGCTCCGACTGTCGTCAAGTATTCGACAACTTTTTCGTGACCGTTTTGTGAAGCTATGTAAAGTGGTGTTTGACCGTTATTCATAGCGCGATTGATTTCGGCGTCGACTGTCGCCAAATATTTGACAACTATTTCGTGGCCTTGGGCGGAAGCTATGTAAAGTGGTGTCGCACCTACAATGTTAGCGCAATTGATTTCGGCGCCGACTGTCGCCAAGTATTCGACAACTTTTTCGCGGCCTTTTGCGGAAGCTATGTAAAGTGGTGTCGCACCGTCAATGTTAGTGCGATTGATTTCGGCGCCGACGGTCGCCAAGTATTCGACAACATTTTCGTGGCCTTGGGCGGAAGCTATGTGAAGTGGCGTTGCACCGTTATACCAAGCGCGATTGATTTCGGCGCCGACTGTCGCCAAGCATTCGACAACTTTTTCGTGACCGTTCAAAGAAGCTATATGAAGTGGTGTAACACCGTTTTTTTCAGAGCGATTGATTTCGGCGCCGACTGTCGCCAAGTATTCGACTACTTTTTCGTGGCCTTGGGCGGAAGCTATGTGAAGTGGCGTTACACCGTTATTCTCAGCGCGATTGATTTCGCCGCCGACTGTCGCCAAATGTTCGACAACTTTTTCGTGGCCTTGGGCGGAAGCTATGTAAAGTGGTGTCGCACCGTCATTCGTAGCGCGATTGATTTCGGCACCAACTGTTGTCAAGTATTCGACAACTTTTTCGTGACCTTTTTCTGAAGCTATGTAAAGTGGTGTCGCACCGTCATTGTTAGCGCCATTAATATCGGCGCCGACTGTCACCAAGTAATCTACAACTCTTTCGTGACCACTTTGTGAAGCTATGTGAAGTGGTGTCCAACCGTCATTTTGGGTGCGATTGATTTCGGCGCCGACTGTCGTCAAGTATTCGACAACTTTTTCGTGACCTTGGTATGAAGCTATGTAAAGTGGTGTCCCACCTACAATGTCAGCGCGATTAATTTCGGCGCCGACTGTCGCCAAGTATTCGACAACTTTTTCGTGACCTTGGTATGAAGCTATGTAAAGTGGTGTCCCACCTACAATGTCAGCGCGATTAATTTCGGCGCCGACTGTCGCCAAGTATTCGACAACTTTTTCGTGACCTTTTGCGGAAGCTATGTAAAGTGGTGTCGCACCGTCAATGTTAGTGCGATTGATTTCAGCCCCGACTGTCGCCAAGTATTTGACAACTTTTTCGTGGCCTTGGGCGGAAGCTATGTGAAGTGGCGTTGCACCTTTATTCTCAGCGCGATTGATTTCGGCGCCGACTGTCGCCAAGCATTCGACAACTTTTTCGTGACCTTTTGCGGAAGCTATGTAAAGTGGTGTCGCACCGTTAATGTTAGTGCGATTGATTTCAGCGCCGACTGTCGCCAAGTATTCGACAACTTTTTCGTGGCCTTGGACGGCAGCTATGTGAAGTGGCGTTACACCGTTATTCTCAGCGCGATTGATTTCGGCGCCGACTGTCGTCAGGCATTCGACAACTTTTTCGTGACCGTTTTGTGAAGCTACGTAAAGTGGTGTAAAACCCTGGTTATCAGCGCAATTGATTTCGGCGCCGACTGTCGCCAAGTATTCGACAACTTTTTCGTGGCCTTGGGCGGAAGCTATGAGAAGTGATGTCCAACCCTCATTATCAGCGCGATTGATTTCGGCGCCGACTGTCGCCAAGTATTCGACAACTTTTTCGTGGCCATTTGCGGAAGCTGTGTAAAGTGGTGTCGCACCTACAATGTCAGCGCGATTCATTTCGGCGCCGACTGTCGCCAAGTATTCGACAACTTTTTCGTGGCCCTGAGCGGAAGCTATGTGAAGTGGCGTTGCACCGTTATTCTCAGCACGATTGATTTCGGCGCCGACTGTCGCCAAGTATTCGACAACTTTTTCGTGACCTTCTCCGCAAGCTGTGAGAAGTGGTGTGAAACCGTTTTCTTTAGCGCAATTAATTTCGGCGCCGACTCTCGTCAAGCATTGGACAACTTTTTCGTGACCCTTTTGTGAAGCGATGTAAAGCGGTGTCGCACCGTCATTTTTAGCGTGATTGATTTCGGCGCCAACTGTCGCCAAGTATTCGACAACTTTTTCGTGACCGCTGAAGGAAGCTGTGTAAAGTGGTGTCGCACCTACAATGTCAGCGCGATTGATTTCGGCGCCGACTGTCGCCAAGTATTCGACAACTTTTTCGTGGCCCTGAGCGGAAGCTATGTGAAGTGGCGTTGCACCGTTATTCTCAGCACGATTGATTTCGGCGCCGACTGTCGCCAAGTATTCGACAACTTTTTCGTGACCTTCTCCGCAAGCTATGAGAAGTGGTGTGAAACCGTTTTTTTTAGCGCAATTAATTTCGGCGCCGACTGTCGCCAAGTATTCGACAACTTTTTCGTGGCCATTTGCGGAAGCTGTGTAAAGTGGTGTCGCACCTACAATGTCAGCGCGATTGATTTCGGCGCCGACTGTCGTCAAGCATTCGACAACTTTTTCATGACCGTTTTGTGAAGCTATGTGAAGTGGTGTCCAGCCGTTTTTTTCAGCGCGATTGATTTCGGCGCCGACTGTCGCCAAGTATTCGACAACTTTTTCGTGGCCTTCGGCGGAAGCTCTGTAAAGTGGTGTCGCACCTACAATGTCAGCGCGATTGATTTCGGCGCCGACTGTCGCCAAGTATTCGACAACTTTTTCGTGGCCTTGGGCGGAAGCTATGTAAAGTGGTGTCGCACCGTCAATGTTAGTGCGATTGATTTCGGCGCCAACTGTCGCCAAGTATTCGACAACTTTTTCGTGGCCTTGGGCGGAAGCTATGTGAAGTGGCGTTGCACCGTTATTCTCAGCGCTATTGATTTCGGCGCCGACTGTCATCAAGTGTTTGACAACTTTTTCGTGACCGTTTTGTGAAGCTATGTGAAGTGGTGTCGCACCTTCGTTCTGAGCGCGATTGATTTGAGCTCCGACTGCCACCAAGTATTCGACAACTTTTTCGTGACCGTTTTGTGAAGCTATATAAAGTGGTGTCGCACCCTTATTTATTGCGCGATTGATGTCGGCGCCGACTGTCGCCAAGTATTCCACAATTTTATCGTGACCGTTTTGTGAAGCTACGAGAAGTGGTGTCACACCGTTTTCTTCAGCGCAATTGATTTCGGCGCCAACTGTCGCCAAGTATTCGACAACTCTTTCGTGACCTTCTTGGGAAGCTATGTGAAGTGGTGTCGCACCGTCAATGTTAGTGCGATTGATTTCGGCGCCGACTGTCGTCAAGTACTCGACAACTTTTTCGTGGCCATTTGCGGAAGCTATGTGAAGTGGCGTTGCACCGTTATTCTCAGCGCTATTGATTTCGGCGCCGACTGTCGTCAAGTGTTTGACAACTTTTTCGTGACCGTTTTGTGAAGCTATGTGAAGTGGTGTCCAACCGTTTTCTTCAGCGCAATTAATTTCGGCGCCGATTTTCGTCAAGCATTCCACAACTTTTTCGTGACCGTTTTGTGAAGCTATGTAAAGCGGTGTCTCACCCTTATTCATTGCGCGATTGATGTCGGCGCCGACTGTCGCCAAGTACTGGACAACTTTTTCGTGGCCATTTGCGGAAGCTATGTGAAGTGGCGTTGCACCGTTATTCTCAGCGCTATTGATTTCGGCGCCGACTGTCGTCAAGTGTTTGACAACTTTTTCGTGACCGTTTTGTGAAGCTATGTGAAGTGGTGTCCAACCGTTTTCTTCAGCGCAATTAATTTCGGCGCCGATTTTGGTCAAGCATTCCACAACTTTTTCGTGACCGTTTTGTGAAGCTATGTAAAGCGGTGTCTCACCCTTATTCATTGCGCGATTGATGTCGGCGCCGACTGTCGCCAAGTACTGGACAACTTTTTCGTGGCCATTTGCGGAAGCTATGTGAAGTGGCGTTGCACCGTTATTCTCAGCGCTATTGATTTCGGCGCCGACTGTCATCAAGTGTTTGACAACTTTTTCGTGACCGTTTTGTGAAGCTATGTGAAGTGGTGTCGCACCTTCGTTCTGAGCGCGATTGATTTGAGCTCCGACTGCCACCAAGTATTCGACAACTTTTTCGTGACCGTTTTGTGAAGCTATATAAAGTGGTGTCGCACCCTTATTTATTGCGCGATTGATGTCGGCGCCGACTGTCGCCAAGTATTCCACAATTTTATCGTGACCGTTTTGTGAAGCTACGAGAAGTGGTGTCACACCGTTTTCTTCAGCGCAATTGATTTCGGCGCCAACTGTCGCCAAGTATTCGACAACTCTTTCGTGACCGTTTTGTGAGGCTATGTGAAGTGGTGTCGCACCATCGTTCTGAGCGCGATTGATTTCAGCTCCGACTGTCGCCAAGTATTCGATAACTTTTTCGTGACCGTTTTGTGAAGCTATGTAAAGTGGTGTCTCACCCAATGTAGTAACAAAATTGATGTCGATACCAAATCTTACAAAATACTCAACGATTTTTAAATTACCATTTCGACAGGCCAGCCACAGAGGTGTTTCAGCATTTTCTGCAGTAATAATTTCTACTTCTCTCAAAAAACTGTGCAAGTCTTCCACTGTGAGGTGTTTACATAGGTTGCCGTAACCCAGTAAAGCAGAGTAATATATAACATTAATTAAGTCATCGCGAGATTGTCTAAATTCATCTTTTTTTGTTTGAAGTAATTCCAGTTGTGCTGCTAGGCTCTCACTTTTTAGGGCATAAAACAACGGAGTCGCATTTAACAACATATCACGTTCGCCAGAATCGTTCTTTCCTTGCAAATACGTCATCGTTTCAAAGTATATTTTGGTTTCGGGTTTTCTATCGAAATTGCTATTTTCGTGCACGATACACTTGTTCAGTACACGCGTTACATTTACACGCGGATGTCTTTGCCCCCATGATGATATCAAATGTAAGGCACTTCTGCCACCTCTATCTCTGCGATTTAAAATTTCGTCATCGTACAATTTAAGCAACTCGTAATGTTTATACAATACGGCAATGTGAGCTCTTGAGTTTTTAGCCAATAACATATCAAAAAAGAATCGGACGTTATTATACCTTGCGACAAACAACAGGTCACCAATTTGATCTTTAAAATTATTAATATTTTTTGAAAAGTATCTAGCAACTAGATATTCAGCGAACGAACTGTGCACAAAACGTGGAACGTCATTTTGAAAGTCATTTATAAGTCCCAGAGAGGCATAGCTTCGTAAAAGTTTTTGTGCGCATTTTTCGTAATTAATTTTCAGTCGTTGCAAAATTTCTTCACCAAATATTACTCTAAAGGACACACTTTCGTAATACTTTGAAGCTTTTCGTAATTTTTCACAGATTTCATATTCCAATTGGGGATTTTCTAAATCGTATCCTTTTTTGTATTTGTAAAAGTTATTAAATTTTTCCTGAATAAAATATTCGTAAAGGTCAGTCAAGACGAATGTGTTATCCATAAGTTTCAAATATTTTTCGCTATTTTCACGGAACAGATCGGTAAGCATGAATATTTGCAGAGGGATACCTAATATATCTATGTGTTCTACAATGGCAAAAAACGATTTGATTTTTTCGAGCGTTACGTCCATGCTGGTCTTTAAATTAAAAGATTCTAGACGTTTTCTGATATATTTTTCTTGTTCTCGTTCGTTGAATTGATTTATACTAAGTGACAACAAATTGAATTTTTTTTCTAGATTTGATTTTAAATGTCTTCTGCTTGTAACCCACTGACGGAACCCTTTTGTTGAAAGATGGAGAATTATATTTAAAGCGGCATTTAAATTATCATTTAAGATTTCATCGAGTGCGTCCCACACGTAAATTACGTTGTTTTCCTTTACACACATCTCGAAAAACATTAGGTCGAGTTTATTAAGCGACTCATATTTTTTATTTGTAATGAAATTTGTAAATAAATCTGAACAGTTATCTGTTTTAGAAAAATTGGGTTTGTGAAAAAATAAATTAACGTCCTTGGGACTGATCAAAACTGTCCAATTTTCGCGAGGACATTTATTTTTTAAGCTTTTCACTAACTCACTTTTACCGATTCCAGGATCTCCAATTATGAGATTGATGTTATAGTCTAAGCGAGAAGACCACAAGGCATTTTCTTCGGTAGGATATGCGTCAGGCAATTTGTAAGCCTCTACATCACTAACATCACCATTGCTACATAGCCATTCTAACTTTCCATCGTCCAAAATTTTAAAATAATGAAACTGTTTTGTTTTTTTGTGCTCGTCATAAATTTGTTGAAGTTCAGAATCATTATAGTGTCTAGTACCAACATAAACTTTGTTGGTAAAACTTGATTTATCAAACATAAATTTAAATTTGTTGTCGTTAAGATTAGAATTTAGTTGAATTTTTTTCCTGTTACCTACGTAATTTTTGTTAGCAAAATCCGGTTCATTAACGTTAAACTCATTGTTTGTTAAATTTTCGCCATTCTGATTTTTTTTCAATAAGAAGTTATTAATGTCAATTAATTCACATTTATCGAGTTTGCTTTTCACTTTACCTAAATTATTCGCGCAATTTAAAATAATAATTGTATTTTCGTGAACTTTTTCCAAATATGTATTATCAACAACATTTCGCGAAATATAGCGTTCTATATAAGGTTCAGGTAGTGTTTCATTTACCCCTCCTATTCGACATGTGCCGTTGACCATTTCGACAAGGTTATCAGTTGTAACATTTTTGAAAAAATCTTCATTACTGCCAAAAGATGTTACAAGATCAAGTTCGCCTTTTCCTTGAATCGAAATGGTAAAATTTTGCATTACATTTTTATGGATTTCGGGATGCAAACTCAAATTCGACAGATTTTGGAAGACGGAATTTTTCATCCATTCCTCATCTTTAGTTCCGCCAACCAAAACGAATTTTTTGTCGGGACACAGCTGTATTATATTTTTCATCTTTTCCCATTCACGTAAAATTAACGGACATTCGTCCATTAACCACAACAGTTGAGTGAACGCTTTGGGATCTACGGTGTCGATGTCGATGTCTTTAATATGTGCGAGAGTAGGTAGATATCTCCTTCTAACTTTATTTAATTCCTTAAAGTCAACAGTTTTTTCCTTTCCGACATCACCCCACAGTTGCTTAACCGTTTCGACTGATTCCTCTTCAATCACTGTCACATCAAAGAAGGAAATCGCCTCCCGAAAAATTTTCATTTTGTTATTAACTGGACCGAAAGATAGAGACTCAGTATGAGAGGACAGAAGGTGTAGCGCAAGAACCAGCTGCGTCCACTTTTTGTCTATCTTTTCTTTTTTCCCATCTTGGACGTTCCAGTCAGAAACTGTTTTGAGGAATTTACCGAATGTTTCGTCATCGGAACAATATGTAGTCTTGAATTTGTTAGCGGTTATTCTTTTTAGAGTATCACAATTTTCTTGGTCGGTATAGAGAAAAAACTTGCGAAAAAAATCCTGATATTCTTGAATTCTAGGATACTTTTCCACTGTCGATTGATCATCTACTATTTTAAACTGATAAACGTGACTAATATTTTCTGAAATGTCTGAGCTAACTTTTCTTTTAATAAGCTTGATGAAAAATTCTTCGCCCTCAAGTTGGAATGTTGCGTTGTCGGGAGGGTTAAACGGCCGGTTTGTGAACAAAATAAATTCATCTATTTTTTGCTTAATTTCTTGGTAACTTTTGAAGTACTTTCCAATACTGAAGTCTCCTTTTACGGTTCGCAAATTTTTTAGAGAGAGTCCTTTCCTCTCGGTATGTTTTAACTGCACCGCTTTAACCTGAATGTTGTCTCCTTCATCTGATGCAAGTTTAACAACCAGGTCATCAAACGCCCCAAAATTAACATCATTTGATGAAATGTGGAACGTTTTTACTCTGGGGTCGTTTAATAGTCTTAGTACGACATTGGCGAGAACCACATCTTCATAATCTCTGCCTTTGTCAGTTGTTCCTGGCCGTTTTTTAAAAGTCTGGAAAGGAATAGACGAACAACTGTTTTGAAAAGGAATTATTCAGTAATTATTGTGTTTGCATGAGCACAAAAATTATACACTGTAGTAGCATTTTTTTTTTTTTTTGTATTTTAATTGATCCCTAACAATATATCTATGTTATTCGATTTGTAATAATTTCTATTGTATGTGGAAGAATAGTTGTTTATTATATCTACAAGCCATTAAAGAGAATCTTTATATAAGATTTTCTGTTTTGAAACCTTTTAATTAACTTATTTGTATCACTTTAAACAATATCTTTATCATTTTATAAATATTTGAAATAAATATTTAAAATAATTTAATCGTCAAACAAATAAATCAACTTGATTAAATGAAAGTAAACCTTCTAGGGGTTTTGTGTCAAATTTCAGTCCCAGAACGTTTACTTTAATTTTAATCAAATTAACAAAGAGGCTCACAGAAAATTAAAAAACAAATCCGGAACGTTTACTTTTATTTTAGTCAAATTAAATACTCAGAAAAAATTAAAAAAACAAATAAATCAACCTAACCATGCTGATCTAATCTTATTCTCCGAGTATGATATAGATTGTTACGCAATTTTCAAAAATATAGGAGCTAATTCATTAATAGATCAGTTTTTCGGAACACCTTGATGGTGTGGTAAATGGAACTGATAGAGAGCAAGTGATGGTAACTATTAAAATGTTAACAAAACAAGACACCGACTTCGACGTATTGTCGGTTATAACATACACAAGTTTTAGACAAATATAAAAATGTGAATCTTAATTTAGTGAATAAAATTTATAACTCTTGATTGTTTCTTTCACTTTCCACAACAAATCGGGGACAACTGTTAATATCATGGCTTAAAATAAGTAAAGTGAAAGCAAAAAAAAAAAAAAATCACAAAATCGGTATACACAAAAAAAAAATAGTATTCGTTGATGTAGAATTTTAACAATGCACTTAAATAAAAATCACTGCACTGTTAGCAACCAAGTTCTATATACCTATATGTATAAATGAAAAAAACACTCACCTCAGTTGTCTCCATTTTTCAAATTTAAGTCACTAACAGAAGCCAGAGTTTTAACTACACAATTGTTTTTACACGAGCAAGAAAAAAACATCCTTTTATATATGGGCGGTAATAAATTCGTGATTTGTTTTTGATAAGATAATAAACAAATTTTTAATATCAGGTGACATATTTTCAATTACTTCTCTCAAACTGAAGTACTAGATAAATATGATCACTACAAATTTGAAATTCCGTTCTGAATTTGTTGTTCTGGAGCTTCTTCAAGGTCTCAAATTCTATGCGTCATCCTCTTAATACATATAAAATTTTACAACTTTTAAAAAATATTTCAAAAATTTGTCAAAATATACTCGAGTTTAAAATTTTCATAACAGTAAACAGTAATTTAAAATATTCCTAAATTGTAGATTACCTAAAAGTATCGCAACTGATTTTATCAAACATTCAATGTTCAAGTATTGCAGCCTCGATATAAATCCAGTATCACTCATGTGAAGAGGTTTGTTTTCGACCAGAGACAAAAATAAACCCTTAAAAGACAGTTTATATATTACAAGAAACGCAAATGGCTTCGATGTACTAAATTCACACTTCGACTGGTCGTTAGCAGAAATCTTATTTTTCTTTTATTTTCTTAAGGGATATTCAGATGTTTCTTTATTATTATTATTTTCTTGGTGGTTGTGTGTTCGCTGCTGCCATTTTTAAATGTTGTACAAGTGTATTTTCGTAAGATAATACGTCCGAATTTTAGACAGTGGCGGAATCTAGGTGATTATTGATTAAAGTATGACCTATAAAAACGTCTTCTTTAGTTTCAAATCAGTTTTCTTGGAAGTTATTCAAAGATTAAAATTCTGTACGACGTCAATTTAACATAAAATTGTCTATTGCTTTTAAATTGCTTTCAAAATTGTACTCGAAAGTAAAATTAAATATGAACATAGATTTCTATTTATTTTGCCATCTCATCCTATTTAATTTCGCGCTGATTTCAAAATTCATAGATTAGATAAAAACAGAAAAACCGACTTTCTCAGAATTTCGATGATCACGCTTTAATCTTGAAACCTATAGTGGAAAAATTTTTGTTGCTATAATTAAATAACTTTTCGGAAAATAAACTTGACGTAATTAAAACAGACTTGTCTCGTTCCAAAATCTAGAACGATGGTACAATGTACCATGGTCTTCTTGTACCCTGTCTAGAACTATATGAAAATGGTTCCAGTTATTAAGGTGTAAATAAACAACAGCAAAGGTATGCGCAAAACAGTGCACATTCACAGTGTAGAGATCATGATCTTCATACTGTATGTTCTTCACACAAGATTGCTAATAGTTCATTTATGGCAGTTAAATCAATCTAACATTCCCCCACTCTGGGAAAAGACAGTGGAATTCAGAATATCGTGGACTGAGGTACAGGGGATTATACATTTTTCCCTTTAGGCAGTTATCATCGTTATTATCATCATATCATCATCAGATCACCGAGATATTTTTTCGCAACGTGCACAGCTATATCACCGAGACCTATTTTCTCGCAACGCCAAAAATTACACTACCGAGACGCCCATACCTCGCAGCGCTGATTGAATATTTTTGTGTTTATTTATCTATCATGTGTTTTGTCTGGGATATGCTGCGGATAGTCCATGATATAAACACTCAAAAATAATTGTTTTAAGTGACCAACCATATTGATAAAGTGTGGCATAATTTAACATAATGTAAATGCTTTGTTTGATGTTTTAAAGATTTGAGGATTATGATGTTCTGAGGATTTGGGGATTATGATGTTCTGAGGATTTGAGGATTATGGTGTCCTGATGATGTGAGGATTATGGTGTTTTGAGGACTTGAGGATTATGCTGTCCTGAGAATTTGAGGATTACGATGTTTTGAGGACTTGAGGATTATGGTGTTTTGAGGATTTGAGGATTATGCTATTCTGAGGCTTTGAGGATTATGCTGTTCTGAGGATTTGAAGATTATGCTGTTCTGAGGATTTGAGGATTATGGTATCCTGATGATGTGAGGATTATGGTGTTTTGAGGACTTGAGAATTATGATGTTTTAAGGATTTGAGGATTATCCTGTCCTGAGAATTTGAGGATTACGATGTTTTGAGGACTTGAGGATTATGGTGTTTTGAGAATTTGAGGATTATGCTGTTCTGAGGCTTTGAGGATTATGCTGTTCTGAGGATTTGAAGATTATGCTGTTGTGAGGATTTGAGGATTCTGGTGTTTTGAGGATTTGAGGATAATGGTCTTCTGAGGATTTGAGGATACTGGTGTTGATGAGAGGATGAGAGGATACGAGGATGAAAGGATGATAGTATGAGAGGATAAAAGGGTAAGAGGACGAGAGAACGAGAGAACGAGGGGCGAGAGAACGAGAGGACGAAAGGACGAAAAGCACGAAAAGAACGAAAAGGAGGAAAAGGAGGAAAAGGACGAAAAGGAAGAAAAGAACGAAAAGGGCGAAAATGAAGAAAAGAACGAAAAGGACGAAAAGGACGAAAAGGACGAAAGTGAAGAAAAGGACGAAAGTCAAGAAAAGGACGAAAAGGACGACGAAAAGGGCAAAAAGGACGAAAAAGACGAGGTTGAGGATTATGCTGTTTTGAGGATTTGAGGATTCTGGTGTTCTGAGGATTTGAGGATTATGCTGTTCTGATGATGTGAGGATTATGGTGTTTTGAGGATTTGAGTACTATGGTGTTTTAAGGATGTGAGGATTATCCTATTCTGAGAATTTGAGGATTTGAGGATTATGGTCTTCTAAGGATTTGGGGATTATGGTGTTATGAGGATCTGAGGATTATGGTGTTTAGACGATTTGAGAATTATGCTGTTCTGAATATTTGAGAAATATGGTGTTTTGAGGATTTGACAATTATGCTGATCTGAGAATTTGAGGAATATTGTGTTCTGAGATTTCGAGGATTATGTATAGTTTTGAGGATCTGAGGATAATGGAGTTCTAAGGATTTGAGGATTATGCTGTTCTGAGAATTTGAGTATTTGAGGATTATGGTGGTCTGAGAATTTGAGGATTATGGTGTTCTGAGGCTTTGGGAATTATGGTGTTTTGAGGATTTGAGGTTTATGTAACAAATACAAAAACACCGTATATATTTTTTTACCAAGTATCCAGTTGACTCAACAGAATGTTCTAATTTCCGTAATACATGACAAATCCAGAATTGGCATTATTTTATACAGCGTGTTTATATGATATTGTTACGTTGATTGAATGAATAAAATCGGGAGTAGGTAAAACTCAACAATTTTTACTTACTAACTCGAATATACACGACTAACTATTACAGCGATTTATGTACAAACTATTTCCGGCGCAACTGGGCTGCCTCTGCTTAACATTCTCTGGACTCGTGGTTCGACTGAATGAATCCTGTTTCCAATGGTGACCTCTATTTATACCTATGCGTGCCTCTCGATGGATCCAGAACGCGGCTTCGAGTGTTTTCTGGACCCGCAATCGAGACTTCCGGTTAGTCGCTCTTGACTTGGCTTTATGGGATGCCGCGTCGACACCATCAGCAGTGATAACTCACCTATCAACACCCTGCATACGACCAGAAAGCTCTCGATGGCCATAGGCGTCGTACCAGGGCGGCGTAGGGTGTATTTCGTAACAATATATATGTATATCCTTATGTATGTTTAGCGACATTTAATTTTATAGCAGATAAACGATTGTTCGGTGTTTATAGTGTTTATATATTTATCGTCACACCGGTATCCCTAGCCATTGACCCCTATTCTTACACATCCGTTTCTCTTCCTCGTCTGTCATAGCTCTCTGTAATCATGTTTTTTATTACACAATTTTTAAGCTGTTGTCAATTTCCGTTCCAAAAATCAGAAGTAGATACTTCCAGAGATCGAACATCCCAATTTACAATAAGTAGACTAGGGGAAAGTGGGGCATAACTGGGTAGTTAGTGTTTGACGGTCTGCCAACATGAAACTGTTGCTTAAAAATTGAAAAATGTTTTTAAGGTATAGGTATGCAGATTTAATTCTAGTTTAATAAATAATATTAAATTTCTCAGAAAGTAATCACACATTATTTTGTACCAGTTTTTTAGGAAACGTTGCACTGCATTGCAATATATGCATTCTGCATCACTTTCAGAATCTTCTTGGGAGGAAGAAGATTCTTTATGATAATAATAATAATAATAATAATAATAATACTTTATTCCCAACAGGTAATAATACACCCAGTAACAGGGAAAAAAATTAACAATAATTATGAAGTAGTGCAGTAAATACAAAGAAAAAGAAAAAGAAAAAAAATATATATATGTATAAAATATTAACTCAAATAAAATTAGGTAAAAATAAGTCACAAGTGAAAACTTAATCCAAAAACGCAACTTTTAATTAATGGTTCAATTATAATATTATGATCGGAACAAAAGACAAAATAAATTATTTATTACAGTAGACTTTATAAATGGTTTGAATAACAGTAGGGTAAATGTGTACAAGAGTGCGCATATGTATAAGAGTACGCACTGATGATTTCTGCTTATTAGTGCCATCTGGGTAAGATGAAGTTATACCATTCAGAATTTAATGTTAAACCTGAGATAAAGGTGCAAAAGTGACCTGAATATAGTTTATAGTTTGGTCGTACTGACGATTTTATGTTCACACGTTGTGTGGATGTAATTTTTACCACTCATAGTTTTAGTTTTTTGTAAGGTACGTACCAGTTCTTTTATTTTACAGTAATAATTTCCATTAGTTGTAACTTTTAAGGTGTCGTTATACACTAACAGTTTTACACTTTCTGTCCATCAAAAGCTTTTAACTTTGAAAACATTAGGTTATGTACAAATGTACAAGAGTGCGCAGCGAGGTATTGTATAAGCGTGCGCATTGCTTGCAATATGTAGTCTAATAGTCTTGGAGATACATATCATACGGTAATGAATTATTTAACTCTACTACTTTGTACTGCTTCTCGAGTTGTGGGGTGGTGGTTATGGTGATTTTTTTTTTATTTTTACTTCC